TCCTCGCTCGGGGTACGTCTGCCCTCAATTCTAATAATAGAATTGAGACCTGTTAATAGGTAGATATAACCTGTTGGTCAAAGTTTATACAAGAAGCGTATAGATATCAAACAAACTAACACTATTGTTGTTGCACATCCTATTTCTTCTTGCCCCTTGATTCAAGTTGAATCAAGTACTTTGACAGCTGTGAATAAACCTCCGATTGTGGCACTATCTTTGAACAACCTTCGGTCTTCAAAATCTAGCCCGGCTGATTTCAATCACCCACATGTCGAACCCAAAACTTCCACTCATAATCCTCTGTTTACCGTTACTAAATCGATGGAACCTCCAGCTCCTCGATTACCTTCACTCGGCTGAATATGTGATGAGACGAATCATGCAAAAACCCCCCAAAATTTGAGAATCTTGGAGGGAAAAACCCTAAAGGTTTTATTCAAGAAAAACCTGTCGATTTCTCAACCTGAACCGGATAAACCAATCTTCAGCTTCGAACGTTATCACCTCTAACAATACACAAGGCACAACAAAGACAATTATGTGTAATTGTTGTGAGATGCTATGAAGAGAATGAAGATGATGAGAACCAAATCGACACCTATTTCACTTTTCTTGTTTTTCTCAATGTTATAAAATGAAAGAGTAAACTGAACTCATATACCAAACATAACTGACATAACAAACAAAACAAATTCACAAAGACAGTTGACATAACAGAAATTTGACACAAAACAGAGAGTGGTCGACCTATACAGTAAAGGGGGTCGACCTGAGCAGACCCGAATGCAAGATTTATGCAGAAAATAGGACCATGCGTCGACCGGAGCTTAGCATGCGTCGACGCATAACATGCATTTTTATCCAAATAAAAATGCTCACAGTATGAGTCGACCGGAGGGTCGACGCAAGTCCTCCTGAGATTAATACACTAAAATGACACGCAGTGTGAGTCGACTGGAACATGTCTTTGGTCGACTCAAAGCCCTAAAATACTCAAAAATGCCTATTTTCATACTTTGTGATTCTTTTGATGAAACCTATAGTATAGAAACCGACACCAACTAAGTGAAACCTATGTGACACACATATTTGGCTATCTATATGCGATGAACGTGATTTTTATGAGCATTTAAATTATGAGAGACAAAACATGCAATTATGACAAGATGATAACGTCCAACATATATTCTTTTATGGAACAGAGTTTTGACATCATCGAAACGAGCACATCTATATATGAGGCTTTACCCTCATAAATGTGAGTAAGCCAAAGAAGTTATGAGGTATATGTTTATGGTATTTTCGGTTGGTAAATTTGGCTCTTCTAGGTAAGTGGAAGTGGAGGCTAATCTCGGTAGTCTCCGATCTTTGGTGTGACATTCTCACTTCTAGATACATAGCGTCTTCCAGGTCTTCTATCTTCGGAGGGAAAGTTGGGTACTTGTGTCCGACCTTGTTCAGGTGGAAATGAATGTCCCTCCTTGGAGTCAAAGCTGATGACCTCTCTGATTAGTTTATGGATGCCTTCAGTTTCAAAGTTGGATATTGCCTTCTTACTTCCTTATGGAAAGATACTTGGGTTGGAACTACTCCTCTTAGATCCAAGTTCTCGAGGCTTGTTTCCATCTTCGATCAGATCCACCAATCGGTAGGAGAGGTATGTGGGTGGGATGAAAGGTGTAGGCTTGTGAGCTTAAGTGGACGAGGGATTTCCTCTTTGTTCATGAGTGAGTTCTTAATCCTGAGATAATGTGTGTGATTATGGATTTTACTCCATCTTTTAAGAGGGATGTATGGTGGTGGCGCCATTCCAATAACGAGTCTTATTTTGTGGCCATCACATATTCTTGCCTTCTAGTCTGTCAATTCTCCTCTCACCGTCAGATCTCTCATGTCGAGGTAGCTCTTCCTACTATCTAGAGTAGTTAGGCCCCCTCTAAGTCGTTTTTTTTTTCTCTTAGCAGCTCCTTCTAGACTGTATCCCCACCAGAGAAAAATTGCTTAAAAGGGGGTCTTTTTGAGTTCGGGGAGTTTCTCATGTCCTTTTTTGTTAACTTCTATTGAGTCATCTTCTCATGTTTTTGTGACTTGTGACTTTATGGCTTTTGTCTAGTATAGATTTTCTAGTTGGTTGGGATGGTGTGTTGTTTTACCTAGAGATAATTTAAACCTTTTCCGAATGTTTTTCTCGCTTAGTGAACCAAGTAGGACTATGTGGTTTCCTGATGATCGGGCATGTCGTGATTTGGTCGGTTTGAACATTTCAAAATGATATATCGTTTTTTGACTCTTCAGTAACAATGAAAGACGTGAAAGACGCGAGCATCCTCTTGGTTTAAAAATAATATATTGATAGGTCGGTGAATAACACATATTTTTTTCTCAACTTGATTTAAGAGTCTTATTCAATTCCTGAGCCAATATGATTGTCTTCAGCCTCCCTTAAACATGTTATTATTGTGTTTCATTATATTTTATTCTATTGATATTAATCTGAACTTTAAAAACTCTAACTTTACCTTGATTTTATCTTATATTCGTAGATGCTTGAGTTTTGATTTCTCAATATTTCTTAGTGATTGTTAGTTTTGTCGTTACTTCTAATTATAGAAATAAATATAATCTTTTTTACTTTATTAAATTCAAAATATATTTCTAATTATATAAATATATGACTTTATTATCTCAGGATTAAGAACTCACTCATGAACAAAGAGGAAATCCCTCGTCCACTTAAGCTCACAAGCCTACACCTTCCATCCCACCCACATACCTCTCCTACCGATTGGTGGATCTAATCGGAGATGGAAACAAGCCTCGAGAACTTGGATCTAAGAGGAGTATTTCCAAACCAAGTATCTTTCCAAAAGAAAGTAAGAAGGAAATATCCAACTTTGAAATTGAAGGCATCCATAAACTAATCAGAGGGGTCATCAGCTTTGACATTAAGGAGGGACATTCCTTTCCACCTGAACGAGGCCGGACACATGTACCCAACTTTCCCTCCGAAGATAGAAAACCTGGAAGACGCTATGTATCTAGAAGTGAGGATATCACACCAAAGATCGGAGGCTACCGAGATTAGCCTCCACTTCCACTTACCTAGAAGAGCCAAATTTACCAACCGAAAATCCCATAAACATATACCTCATAACTTCTTTGGCTTACTCACATTTGTGAGGGCAAAGCCTCATATATAGATGTGCTCGTTTCGATGATGTCAAAACTCCTTTTCATAGAAGAATATATGTTGGACATTATCATCTTGTCGTAACTGCATGCTTTGTCTCTCATAATTCAAATGCTCGTAAAAATCACGTTTGTTGCATATAGATAGCCAAATATGTGTGTCACATAGAGTTCACTTGGTTGGTGTTGGTTGCTATACTATAGGCTTCATCAAAAGCATCACAAAGTATGAAAATAGGCATTTTTGAGTGTTTCATGGCTTTGAGTCGACCAAAGACCTGTTCCGGTCGACTCACACTGCGTGTCATTTTAGTGTATTAGTCTCTAGAGGGCCCGCGTCGACCCTCCGGTCGAATCATACTGTGAGCATTTTTATTTGGCTAAAAATGCATGCTATGCGTCGACGCATGCTAAGCTCTGGTCGACGCATGGTCCTATTTTCTGCACAAATCTTGCATTCGGGTCTGCTCAGGTCGACCCCCTCTATTGCATAGGTCGATCGCTCGATGTTTTGTGTCAAACTTCTATTATGTCAACTGTCTTTGTGAATTGGTTTTGTTTGTTATGTCAGTTATGTTTGGTATATAAGTTCAATTTACTCTTTCATTTTATAACATTGAGAAAAACAAGAAAAGTGAAATAGGTGTCAATTTGGTTCTCATCATCTTCATTCTCTTCATAGCATCTCACAACAATTACACATAATCATCTTTGTTGTGCATTGTGCATTGTTAAAGGTGATAACGTTCGAAGCCGAAGATTGGTTTGTCCGGTTCAGGTTGAGAAATCGACAAGTTTTTCTTGAATAGAACCTTTTGGGTTTTGCCCTCCAAGATTCTCAGATTTTGGGGGTTTTTGCACGATTTGTCTCATCACATATTCGGCCGAGTGAAGGTAATCGAGGAGCTGGAGGTTCCGTCGATTTAGTAACGGTAAATGGAGGATTGTGAGTGGGAGTTTCGGGTTCAACACGTGGGTGATTGAAATCAGTCGGGCTAGATTTCTCCGATCGGGCATGCCGTGATTTGGTTGGTTTGAACATTTCAAAATGATATATCATTTTTTGACTCTTCAGTAACAATGAAAGACGTGAAAGACGCGAGCATCCTCTTGGTTTAAAAATAGTATATTGATAGATATGTGAATAACACGTGTTCTTTCTCAACTTGATTTAAGAGTCTTATTCAATTCCTAAGCCGATATGACTGTCTTCAGTCTCCCTTAAACATGTTATTGTTGTGTTTCATTATATTTTATTCTATTGATATTAATCCGAACTTTAAAAACTCTAACTTTACTTTGATTTTATCTTTTATTCGTAGATGCTTGAGTTTTGATTTCTCAATATTTCTTGGTGATTGTTAGTTTTGTCGTTCCTTCTAATTATAGAAATAGATATAACCTTTTTGACTTTATTAAATTCAAAATATATTTCTAATTATATAAATATAGGACTTTATTAAATTCAAAATATAATCTAATTACTTCTAATTATAGAAATAGATATAACTTTTTGACCTATATTTATAGATCTTCTGAAATAACTATATTTTCTTATTATTTCATACAATGTGTCTTTCGATGTACATATGTATATATTATTTTGATATGTACATACTACTATATTATTTTTTATTACTATTTTGTATACATACATGTTATTCTGTTATATATATATTAATACTTAATTTTGATTTCATGTAGGTGCATCTAAAGAATATTTGAGTTGTGATTCCATTGATAGAACAGAAGCTAATGACAATTATGCTTTCGAGCATTTGACACTGGAATTTTTGAGTTGTCTAAAAATGTCCGGTTTGCCTAACCACTCATTGAAATTGAAGGCTGGTACAATCATCATGTTGATAAAAAATTTGGATCAATCTGAAGGCCTTTGTAATGGTACAAGGTTAACCGTTACAAAGTTAGGCAATCATGTCATTGAAGCAAAGATCATTTCAGGTACAAATATTGGAAATATTATTTATATCCCCAGAATGTCTTTGTCTCCTTCCCAATCTCCATGGCCATTTAAACTTATTAGAAGACAATTCCCAATTATAGTGTCATTTGCTATGACAATCAACAAATCTCAAGGACAATCGTTGGACTATGTTGGATTATATTTGCCAAAGAATGTTTTCAGTCATGGACAACTTTATGTTGCCATTTCAAGGGTTAAGAGCAAAGCTGGATTGAAAGTTTTAATACACGACAAAGACAACAACTACTTAACTCAAACAACAAATGTGGTCTTCAAAGAAGTTTTCCACAATGTCATATAGGTACATATTTAGTTTTTTAATAAGATTATTTTTTCTTACTATCAATACTAAAATCTTCATCTCTATATTTAGCTTCAAGTAAAATAATTTGATACTCAAATTTATATTTCACTTCATGCTTATATAATTCATTCTTTCAACATCTCATATTTTTTTTGATAGTTCTAATATTTCATTATTTATTGATTTTATTTTATATTTGTAGGTTTTGTAATCTCCACTATCGCTTCATACAAGTCTCACTACATCATTTCAATCTACAATATTATTTGCACTTTGTTACTAAATTTCTTTTGCTGGACATACTATATTTCAAATATTAAAAATTATTGTATTTTTATGACATTGAATATATCCACTATTATAAAATTATTATGAAATTTAAAAATGAATTTACCCGTGCGGAAGCACGGGTCTCCTACTAGTTATATAAATATAGGACTTTATTAAATTCAAAATATAATCTAATTACTTCTAATTATAGAAATAGATATAACTTTTTGACCTATATTTATAGATCTTCTGAAATAAATAAAAGAAACAAATGACAATTAGCTCTTTGGTTCCACAAAACTTTCTATTCTTATCCATGTGATTGTGATTCAAATAAAGCCAATTAGCTTTTTGACTCTACCAAACTTTCTCTCGAAACATGGCCCTATTACTTGACCGTCATTGTATAACATTTTTAAATCCCTAAACCCAAAGTACCACGTGTAGCCTCTCGATCAGCAGAATGTCAGGAATTATATTTTTTTATTTTATGTAATTGATTTGATTGTATCAATATAGTAAGTTCAAATCAAGTTCAAATCCTAACACATTATGTTATCTTGGTTTCTTCACAGCCGGACTAGTTGCAATAAACAATATGTATTCAATTAAATCAACCCAACATGTTATTTGGAAAGAAGCAACCTTACTTTAAGAAAAATTAATATTTATATGTGAATAATTAAGAAAACTTATCATCGTTAAAAAAAAAATCATCATCGTTATCCTCGTGGTTGAATATTCTAATTATTTTTCTCTACGGTTGAATTGTTCAACATAATAGTGATTATTTTAAATTACCCTTGTTTACGGTTAATAAAATACTTCATCGAATTTCTATTATATATATTTTTTAAATTTATTAATTAATTAATATATTTAAAAAGTAAAATTTTAAAATATAATAAAGATTATAGGGAGTTTTAATTAAACTCTTGTTTACTGACATTTTTTTTTCCTTCAAAATTTTAAGTTTGAAATATTAAGATATTAACATTTATAAAGCGCCTGCTAACTAGATGAGAGTTCATCCCTTGAGAAAGGTACATGATTAACGATTATTCCATGTAGAGGCTGATCTCATAGAGACAGTTTTACCATCTAACTTTTATAAAGCACAACATACGTCATTTCATTTCAGGTATTCGTCTACTAAAACTACTTTCTCACTAATTTACTCATTTGGGTGTGGAATTTTAACCTTACATATTTGCCTCCGCCGCATCGAAAACTCACTCACCACATCAGCACTCAACTCCATTCCATTTCTACCTATCTCAAGTTCATGTATGGAACATGTTGGATTAATAAAGAGAAAATTGTATTCACATTTTAATTTCAATATCCGTGAGTATATATAAGAATTGATCGCTAATTTAGTCATTTTCTAAATTGAATACTAACTTTTCAAACAAAACAAAACATTAATTAAAATATAAAAATGGCCACTTTCTCGGCAGCCATAGATAGACTTCTCAACTCTCACTCTTACGTATTAACGTATATAAATATAGCCTATAGTTCTCCTCTGAAGAATATCAAACACACACACATTTCATAAAATCAAAACCATGTGGTCTATAGTAACAGATCCCATTAGAACTCTTATTTCAAGAGTTGTGAAACATTCCATCCATCCTGATTTCCATGATGCAGTCTCCAAAATGTCCATCATAGATGCCTTTCTCTTCTTTGTAAAAATACTTTACTTCATCAAAATCAATATATTATATTTTTCTCATATTCCTTTATTTATAACATACATAATTGTTGTTTTCTTATGCCTTCTAAATAGATTATACATTCCATTGACAAGTTGGGAATATGGCACCGTTTGCCTGTATTCTTAGGGCTATTGTATTTAGCCATAAGGCGTCATCTTCATCAAGAATACAATCTCTTAAACGTTGGGACAACACCTGTTGGAATTAGGTCAAATCCATCTGATTTTCCATATAGAACTGCTGATGGAAGTTATAATGATCCTTTTAATGATGGTGCTGGAAGTCAAGGATCTTTCTTTGGCAGAAATATTCTTCCTGTGGATCAGAAGAACAAGGTAGAAACTGAAAATTATATTGTTGACCTTCTTAATTAGTTTTATGCATAAGGAAAAAAAAAAACAGTAAACTAGTAATGTGGAAAAAAAAAGGAAATTAGTTTTAACTTGACGGTGAAATGTTATGCTAAAAAAATTTAAACATCAATTTCGTGTTGATTTGTTGTATATATATATACATATGATTTTGGTTAGTAATTCAAATTTTTTCTAGTTAATTATCAAAGAAAGAAAGATAATAAAAGAAAAAGATAATAGAAAAAAATCATCATCCTAATTTTGATATTTTAATTAGATTATCAATGACTATTTTGATTAGAGATAAGTGGAAGTAAAAATATATAGCATCTTCCTCTGCGTACCAAATTTAGTTTGACCTTTTTATCCCTTCTTTTATCATATGAGTTAATTGAGAATTTGATAATTTAATATGAGTAAAAATATATTGTTGATTCTAGTAGGATTACAAGTTCCTTGTATGATGGTTTGATTGAGTCGGTTTATCATCTCTTTAACATTTGTGAGTTGGTGCTCCTAGTTTTGTACATGATTTTTCATTGGTTAGATTGGTAGGTGACTATTCCTAGTTATCATATGTTTTTGTTAAAGTATTTTCTCTCTCTAAGTGATAGGATTACTTGTAGGTGTGATTATGCTGTTGTTTAAGATTTTGTTGTCTTGTCTATTTAAGAGGATTCATATTTTTAATGGTGTTTGTAATAGAGATGTGTTAGAAGAAAATTTTTTGTTCTAGAAACTATTTCTAGATAAAGTAAAGGTAGACTTGTGCACTTTCTCATGTGATTCAAAATTTCATCCTCTACTAAAACAATAAATGGTCACAAATTCGTCATAATTTTTAAGATGATAGTTGTTTGTGGTTTTTTTTTATTTACTGTTGTCCTCTGATTTATTGACGGTGCTCCTAGAAGATAAGATCTAGCCAGAATTTCACGAGTGGAATATTTAAATACTTCGGCGTTTCTATAAAATTCTTCAAAGTTTCTAGTTGCTATGATGTATTTTTAGTTTTTGTTTATGCTTGTTTGTTTATTGTATCTTTTGTTTTTTTTCTTCCTGAGAAGACATGTTTAGCACCTCTTGTTTTATTAGTTACTGTTTTTTTAATATATTTTTGGTAATTTTTATCTCTATATTAATATATTATTTTTTCATTAAAAAATTATTTATTTTTCTGAACATGGACTTTTTTTAATTAAATTTTAGTATTTTTGTAATTATAAATATTATTCTGTATTAATAAGACTAGTTCCTAACAAACATAATATATATGGCCGCTAATGTATAAAAAAATCCTAACAAAAGTAATATATATTGCCGCCAATGTATATAAAAGGTTAGATGTTTAAAAACATATTTAAATATTGTGTTTGTGTAGTTGTTGAAGCCAGATCCAATGGTGGTGGCCACAAAACTTTTAGAAAGGAAAACGTACAAGGACACTGGAAAACAATTCAATGTGATAGCAGCTTCTTGGATTCAATTTATGATACATGATTGGATTGATCATATGGAGGACACTAAGCAGGTTCAAATGGATTTCATCAATTTAAATATATATATAGTTTTACACGTAACATCTTTGGCTTTTTATAGTATATACTTATGACATTAGAAAACATTAAATGTTATTAATATATATAGGTTGAACTGAGTGCACCACGTGAGGTTGCAAATCAATGTCCATTGAAATCTTTCAAGTTCTTTAAAACAAAAGAAATCCCAACTGGCTTCTATGATATCAAGACTGGACATGCCAACATTCGTACACCTTGGTGGTAAGAATATTTATAGAATAATATTTTTGTTAGATTAATTTTGTTAAATATTACACTATTATAGTAATAAAATTTTCTCCAGTCACTATTATAAATAAAGATTCTCTTTTCAGATTTATTAATAATAATTATTCAATAAATTCAAAAAATAATTTTTTATTTATAATAGTGACGAGAATATATATATATATATATATATATATATATATATATATATATATATATATATATATATATATATATATATATATATATATATATATATATATATATATATATATATATATATATATATATATTTGATCTAACCTATTAAAAAGGTTGGCTAATAATAATCTGAGCATAATAGAATTTTTTATTGACTAATGTTCATTGTTTCAACATTCTACATCGTGCTAACATTGATGATTTCAAATATAAGAATTCATAGAGTTGAATTCAATGAATACAACACCAACCTCAAATATAACAAAAACGATTTGTATTTGGTCTAACTAATAAAGTAGATATTTATTTATTTATATGTTAAATTAGAGGGATATGATTAACCAGCAATGCAAAATATTTATTTATTTATTTATTCTTCAAAAAGATGGTCTATCACTATCTACGTTCTACTCTGATAGGTTTTTCTATGGTCTTACGTAAGAAAATTGAAAATGGAAAAGGGTTAGACTAGATTGAGAAATAAGAAATTTGCAGTTTTTTGATGTTGAAAAGAAAGTGTGAACTTTGTTAATTGAGATAAGTATTGCAGTTTATAGGACAATATAATATACATAACTCGTATGCAATGCAAGGTTACGAAACTAATAATTGCTTATAAATCACTATGTTATGAAGTTTGGTTCTCTTTCTCACATCTTTCTTGTTTACTACTATATACATATATCCATCGATAAAATGAAAAAATCTATTTTAAAACTTAACAACTATTTTTATGTTTAAAAAAAACTTATAAAGCAATATTTCTATTTTTCTTGCGCTTATTTTTTAATTATAAAATAAATAAAAAATGTAAAATTATATTAATCTAATAATTACTTACATATTCTCATAAAATTAAAATGTCTAATATTTTATTTATCCTTATAGAAATTTTATTTCAAAAATAAAGATGTAAATTTATAATTAAGCCAATCACATTAAATTAAAATGTTTATTATTTTATCCATCTTTATAGAAATGTCATTCAAAAATAAAAATAAAAATTTATAATTAGGCTAATTTCTCGACGAAAAATTCTAACATGTAATTTTTAATATCTCCACATATATTTGTAAATAAATATAAAAAATTGAAAAAATAATAAAGATATAACTTTTCAGTTAATAAAATAAAAAATATATGCGTAACACAGGTCAATATTTTGTTAATATAAACTATCATCCTATCATAAGTACAATTATTTTTATCGATGTGAGAATTTCTTTAGTATATAATACATGTAATTATTCTTTAACATTAAAAAAAAGAGAGAGAGAGTGAGAGAAATTGAAATAGGCTCTATTTAAGGATTAAACTTAATTAACTTACACATGACATGAATGTATATATGATAAAAGGGATGGAAGTGTGATATATGGAAGCAATCAAGAAGTTTTGAACAAAGTGAGGACTTTCAAAGATGGGAAGTTAAAAATATCAAAGGAAGGTCATCTTCTTCATAATGAAGATGGAACTGCTATTTCAGGTGACATTCGCAACAGTTGGGCTGGTGTCACAACTTTGCAAACCCTTTTTGTTCAAGAACACAATGCTGTTTGTGATGCTCTCAAGGTATGTATTAATTGTTGTCTATCTCTTCTAAATATAAGTTTCATTATAGTACAAAAAAAAAACCTAATACATATATTTTTATTCAATATTGTACTTTATTAGAAGGAAAATCCAGACTTGAAAGATGAAGATCTTTATCGCCATGCTAGATTGGTGACTTCAGCTGTGATTGCAAAGATTCATACCATAGATTGGACTGTCGAGCTTCTCAAAACTGACACTTTGCTAGCAGCTATGAGAGCCAATTGGTGAGATATATATGTTGTGAAATTTTGAAATATGTTTTATGGTTAATTATAAAAAATAATATTTAGGTTAATTTCTAAAATGTTGAATTTTGTTTTAGGTATGGATTATTAGGAAAGAAATTCAAGGATACTTTTGGACATGTTGGAGGAGCCATCTTGGGTGGATTGGTGGGTTTGAAGAGATCAGAAAATCATGGTGTTCCATACTCTTTAACTGAAGAATTTACCACTGTCTATAGAATGCATCCACTTCTGCCTGATTCTCTGCATTTGAGAGACATATCTGCCTCTCCTGGACAAAACAAATCTCCACCATTAATAAAAAAGTATGAAAATTATCATCATAGCTTCTTTCTTCCAAATATAGCAATATCAAAAAGATTATAAATTCACTCTCTAATCCTTTTGTTTTGTATTATCTAGGGTTCCTATGAATGATTTGATTGGACTACAAGGAGAAAAGACCTTGTTGGAGATAGGTAATGCAAAACAATTAGTATCAATGGGTCACCAAGCTTGTGGAGCCCTAGAACTATGGAACTATCCATCATGGCTTAGAAACCTAATACCACATAACATAGATGGCACAGAAAGATCTGATCATGTGGACTTAGCTGCTCTTGAAAGTAATATATGAATCACAACTTCTATTTTTGAAACCATATTTGTTATTTTGTGCTTAAGTGTCATGGAATTGACCTTCTAATTTGATATATTAAACTATGCAGTTTATAGGGATAGAGAGAGGAATGTAGCAAGATATAACCAATTCAGAAGAGGACTATTGTTGATACCTATTTCTAAATGGGAAGATTTAACAGATGATAAGGAAACTATTAAAGTATTGAAAGAGGTATATGGAAATGATGTTGAGGAGCTTGATGTGCTAGTAGGTCTCATGGCAGAGAAGAAGATAAAGGGTTTTGCAATTAGTGAGACAGCTTTTGTGATATTCCTTCTCATGGCATCTAGGTAAAAACAGCTAAAATTTTATTCTTTTATGTTGTTAGAAATACATATTTATACTATTAGAAATATTCAATTTTAGACATATTTTTGAATTTGGTTGAACTTTAATACACATTACAGGAGACTAGAGGCTGATAGATTTTTTACAAGCAACTTCAATGAGGAGACATACACCAAAAAGGGTTTGGAATGGGTAAACACAACTGAAAGCTTAAAGGATGTGATTGATCGTCACCATCCAGAAATGACACACAAATGGTTAAACTCTTCAAGTGCTTTCTCTGTTTGGGATTCACCTCCAAACAAACACAATCATATTCCACTTTACTTTCGTGTTCCTAATTAATCAGTTCAACTTAGCGGTATTTTGAATTTATATATTTGTTTGTATTTCGATTGTCTTAAATAATTCTATGTTGTATTTGTGTTTATGTGTATGTATTTATGTTTATTTGTTCTATTTGTATCGTTCAGAACAATCATATTACTATAAGAAACACAACCATTACTCAGTGATTTAGTGACAATTTTATATATATTTTGCCATATAAATAAACATTCCTATGTTGTATTTCATATGATGAAGGTGTAAACATAGCACACCTTATTTTGAGTTTTGGGAAAAGATATTTTGACACTACTTTATAACACCTACACCTAATTTTATACATAATACATACTAATTTTATTTTTTAATAATTTGTTCACCTTGATTTTTGTGCAAAACCAGTATAATTTGTTGGTATATACGGTGTAACATACATAGTGTATGGAAAAAGGTGTAAACATAGCACACCTCTTTTATTTTTGTCTATATATTTTTACTTTAAAGCAATTATGGTAGATTATAATATAGTTTATTTAGATTTTGGGTTGACAAAGATGATAGATTATAATATAGTTTATTTAGATTTTGGGTTGACAGAAGAAATAAGTTTCCTCTTCTTTTTATGATTTTAGAGCTGCTCTCTTTCATGCATGCTCTTTTGGGAGCTACTTTATTTGTTATAGAATTTAGATTTCTCATCGGTTATATATATATATATATATATATATATATATATATATATATATATATATATATATATATATATATATATATATATATATATATATATATATATATATATATATATATATATATATATTGCTTATTTAGTTTAGGTTCAGTTGGTTTAGTTGCACAGTTGAGGTTGACATCTCTATCTTATGTGATCTAAAAGTTAGTTATATGCATCTATGAAGTTTCATTTCCTCTGTCTCTTGAGGATTTATGTTTTGTTTGCTTGTCTTTTAACTTTTGATTTTGCTTCTATCATTATTGAGTCTCCTCACATGATTGTGCACCTAAGGGTTGAATTCTTAATCTATTTTTACACATGCATAAATCTAATTGTTTAATCATAGTCCAAGCAATATGCTTCTAGTTAAGTTGTTGAAGTTTTTTAATCAAGAATCACATTTGAGAATGGTTTAAGTCATGAAAAGTTTAAATTCTAGAAGTGTGATTCGAATCACACACTATCTTAACTCAAATCAAAGTCATAGAATGTCCCAAAAATGCGTTCATGTTGCCATGATTCGAATCACAACATCCAAGACTCGATTCATAAGAGCTTTATTCGAATCACAAACTACTTGACTCAAATCAGAAACTAACTGCAGCCTTTGGAATTTGGTTATGTGAATGTGATTCAAATAAGAGTTTTCATAACTCGAATCATGTGACTTAAATCATAAAAAGCATAACTCGAATCACAATGTTGGTTCATGTTTAATTCAAATCACTTGATCCCTTGATTCGACTCGTACTACCTTCTTATGACCCGAATAAAAAGCATTTTCTCTTATTTTTGTGCTAGATCTCTAGCACGTATATAAACCATTTTTCTCAAAACCAATTCAAAATGTTGACAAACATACACATCAACTTTTAATTTAGAATTCACAACACGCTTGCCCTCTCAACTTTCAAAAGAGTTTTGAATATTGTTTTGAGTTTTGCAAACGAAATATTTCATCTTCAACCTTTTTCATTTTCCATTATCTATTGGATCTAGCTCTCATCTTAAGGTTTGAGATATGTAAGGTGGATTGTCCTTTGAATATTTAAAGGGTTTGTAAAGTGTTTGTGTTGTTGTGGCTAAGGTCGAAAAATCAAGAGAAAAAAAGTTAGTTTCTTCTCTTCATAATTACTTTGGTAGAATTGTGTGAAAGTCTACAGATAAAGTTGAAGTTTTTCACATCTTTAGATAGACTAAGGCTCTAGATACCGGTAGGATCGAGTAAATATTGTTGTAGAATGGAGACTTGGAGTAGCATTCTTAGATCTGGAAGATTTTAAGTTAGTAAACGTTTCACAAGGATTCAGTGTCAGATACTGTGTAGAAGTCAATAAGGATTCATATAAATTTTTTTTTATTTTCAGCATTATTCAAATTGCGATTTTAAAACATATGTGTAATATTTGTCAAAATTATAATGGAAGAACAAAATTTCACTAGGAAATCATTGGAGAGTGGAGTCGGCATAGCAAGGACGAATTGTTGAACCACTATACATACGGTGTACTCTCTCTCTCTCTCTCTCTCTCTCTCTCTCTCTCTCTCTCTCTCTCTCTCTCTCTCTCTCTCTCTCTCTCTCTCTCTCTCTCTCTCTCTCTCTCTCTCTCTCTCTCTCTCTCAATTTAAATTTTGATTAGAATTGCATGATTAGATTTATTTCTTTCTTAAAATCGCATGTGGTTAGGTTTATTTCCTTGATAGCAACTTTGTTCACAAAGTGTTGGCTTTGTTAGATTGGAACTTCAAATTGTTTTATTGTTGATTAAACCTTGATAATGTAATTGTATAAATCTTATGTATTAAAGTTATGTATTTACATATCTCGTGTTAAGTGTTTGAAACTCAATATATTTATTGATTTTCTTTAGTTATATGTTGCATCTAATTTCAATTTTTTATGCCAATTGAGTGATGTGTATATTCTGTCCAAAAGCATGCATTGTATGTATTGTGCTTCCGTTGTACAAAATATTTTACAACTATGATTCTTTTTGAAATAAACAAATTTTTTGATCAGACAATTTTTAAGAAGGCCAATTCAACCCTCATTGTAGACCGTTGCATTCTCATATTTAAACACCTACATTGCATTGCACACCAACATTTAGTCATTTGCACTTCCATATTTGCATTGGTTGTTTTCTCTCTTATCTCTTGTGGATTTATGGATTTTCAAAGAAAATTTCCTCCTTCTATTCGTCCAAACGAGAAGGGCTTGGTTTCTTTTTTCTTAACCAATTTAGGCCACGTTTTCGAAGAATGGGAGATTTGTAATTTATTTTTAAGTTTGGCTCAATTGGCAGTATATTTATTCTGGAAAAGAGAAACAAACATGGAAACATAGTCAATTTTGTCTATTTTAAGGAAGTTTATAATGTGAGATTGTTGAAGGTTTAAATAGAGAAAATTTTGCTTGGAGACTTCAAGTTTATGGTAAAATATATTGAAGTTCTTTCAAGATTGCATTGGGATGGTTACCGAGTCTACCTAACTAACTGAGTTAACCTCCAAATTAGTGAGTTGAGGCTAACTAACTCCAATGCTAGTTCAAAGGCTACATCCAAAGCTCATTTCGAACCTAGCAACTCCGAAGCAAAACTCTATATAAGCAAATTATCATCATTTCACAAGGGATCTCAATCATTCTCCCAAATTTTCACACTTGATCACTCTCAATTATCTCACATTCTCCCTGAATTTTTTGCAAATTCTACTCATAATCTTCTTGACTTTCATCTCAAACCACACTAGAGCTCAAAACCTCCATTAAAGAGTAGCAACTTCTTCATTGGAAGTGCTTTCTCTTAAGCTTAGCCATCATCATCTTGCTAATTCTTCTAGATTTTGTGGAGTTTTATTGTATTTGGATTCATCTTAAGTGATTACTTCAAGCTTATTCGGTGTAATTTCAATTTTGGAGTTTTCGTTGGAATTTGCTCGGGTTCGCTACGGTTCGATTGAAAATTTTGTTTTCTCTGGATTTCTTTGAGTAGCTTCATCACAATCTAATTGCAACAACATCCCATGAGAATTTCAGCCTTGTAGGTTGGTTAATTCTCACTCTTTTCATTGTTTTGATCGTTATTGTATCGTTTGCGATGTAGTTTCGATATTTTTCTTGTTTGCGAATTGATTGGGCCATGATTTGATCTTCATTCTTGATGTGCTAATTGATTCCATAAGTGATTATTTGCTATTTTTGGACTTGATTTTTGTGCATGATTATTTGTCCTAACATGTGAGGGATTGCACAAATCAAAATTGGACAAAAGTGCTTTTGAAAAATCATATTTCAGGCTCTATTCCAGTGTTAATCGATTAACACTTTTGCACTAGCAAAGTCTTAATCGATTAACCATGTATTTTTCAGCAAAATTTTCCTGTTTTAAAAGGGTTAATCGATTAACACTTTTGCACTAACAAAATGTTAATCGATTAACCTTGTATTTTTCAGCGAAATCTACCTATTTTAAAAGGGTTGATCGATTAACACTTTTGCACAAGCAAAGTGTTCATCGATTAACACTGCTCAAGAAGGCCATTTTTGTGCATTTTTCATGTATGTTTGGCATTTCTTCCTCTTTCAACTCCCATGGATTGATATGTTTGATGTTTATGGATGTTTTAACTTCTGATTGAAGCATGCTTGTGCATTTTCCAATGCCCGATTTTATCGATTTTGCATTTGTTTGCATTTTTGGCATTGTATGATCATGTTCATTTTTGCCAAATCTTTGATCACATGATTACTTGGCTTGTGATGCATGCTAATTGACTTTTGTACTATTTTGCACTTCCATTCATGTTTGCATTAACATTTTTTCCTCTTTGGAATGAACTTAATCTTGTATAATCAATGATTTCCCTTTTTGCTTTAACGATTTTTCATTCCTTTGGAAAATTGTTAGCACATCTTTGCCCTTTGATTAATTAATTAAAAATTCGTTTTAATTATTCGATCTTTCCTTTTTCTCCTCCTTTGAAACTTCTTGAGCTTTGTCCTCTCTTTTTCCCCGCAGAGTTGAAGATTCACAATGCATTGGAGCACTGTACAAATTTGCGTTGTTGTGTTGTCTGTTTCGTTTCTTACACCACGCTTTGGTGTTAGAGAAGGAATGTAACTGGAGAATTCCTACACTCATTCTGGCTATTTTTGGTATGGGACGAATGACCCTGTGCCTGGAATAGTCACCTCTATCTCCTTACTGTGGTTTCCCTGTTCCTCCAGTCGAGTCAATCCTTGATCCCTTGCACCCTTACCTCCTCTTCAGAAGTAGCCTTC